CGGGTCCTCAGAAGGTCCCACAGCCAGGCTGGAGGTTCTCAAGCCTGACCTTCATGTTTTACCACTGCTATGTCTCGGGTGACTGTCTGGGGCATTTGGACCCTCTGTCTTCTCCTGGAAAATGGGGAGCACACTAGTATTTTCTCTCTTGAATTTTGTGGGGTATATTAAAAAAAAAAACTTTGTACACGAAGCAGCTAACATAGTACCTGACACACAATGCCTTTCCTTCCTTCCTCATTCATTTATTCATTCATTCTCCAATTGGTCCCCTGTTGCAGGGAGGGGCTGGCAGGAGAGCAGTACACGCTTACCATGAGACTCCTTCGAGATGCCATCTCGGATGCCACCTTTTTCCACATCTATGCTTTTCCCTGGAGAAGGAAAGAAAAAGGTTTTCATTTCATTTCTAAGTAGCACAACCCCACACCCCACACAGCGACTCCGGTTGAAATGTCAGGTCTTACCCAACAGCCCCTAGGAAGCCTGGTAGGCTTCCTCATTCCACGGTCCCAGGCCCCAAGGTTACTCCCAACCTCGTAAGGCATGTGAGTGTGTTTCTCGGCTCCCCGACTTACGACACATCCCTGTCACAGTGAACCGCCCTTGCGGCAAAGTCTGGCGTTTCGTTTGGGTTTGCAGTTGGTACATCTCATTGGCTAGCAATGTGCATGGCCTACAAGGTTGGCAGTGGGTGATTGGCTGAAGCCATCCTATGTGTACATTATAGAGGATGTTGCTAACCCCCAAAGTTGCAGAAGTTCAGATTGATAACTGCTGATAATAAACAGTAATAACAGTGAGACGTCTGAGGAGGGCAAGGAAACAAAAGAAAGAGAATCACCTGCATGGCAGGTTTAACAGGATGGGGTTGATAGCCTATCTTGAGCTGAGCCGTGTAAACAAATACAGTGGGCTTCTTTAAAAACAAACAAACAAGAATTCCCTCAGATTCCTTATCCCTCAACCCTAAGCAGTGGTCCAAGAGGTTTCAACACAAGGAGCAAGACTGAAGCGGGAGCGGTCTTGGAGCCTGTCCAGGCTGTACACACGCTCCTTCGAACAAGCAAAGGGAAATGTGAAAACACAGAGGGGCATTCGGCTGGTGTCGGAATGGACGCACTCTGGTGGAAGGAACCTGTGGAAAGTGGGGGAGTCATCCTTCTCCTCTTTCCCTCAGAGGTGAATCATTTCTGAGGCACTCCATTATCACTGGTTGTCCCAACTGCTCACTGTCCACAGAGGAAGTTGGCAACAAGATTTCCTATCACTGGTCCCACCCAGGATGAGTGACTGTTAGAAGCTGGCCCAGACGTTCTGTCTGACCCAATGTCCCAGGTCTCCTCACAACCAGTTCTTGAGAACCGGTGCAGTGACTCCGCCCCCTTCCCTAAAGGGTGTGGGGGAATTCCTCAAGGACAGTGGAATTTCCTTCAGTTTCTTGCTTCCTTGTTTGGCAACAATCTGTCTGCAAGCTAGTCGGTTACCACTGGCTGGCTTGGTATGCTTCTCAGAGTACTGAAAACCGAGTCACGCTCACGGCCGTGGCGTCTGGCTTAGTGCGGCCCTTTAACTGCCACTGTGGGCTTCCGGAGACTGTAACTCTCCACGGGAGTAGAGAGCTTCATCTTTCTCCCGAGGGGCTGCTGGTGGCTTAGAACTGCCGACCTTGTGGCTCAGCAGCCTGGTTATTGAGAGGAGAGTTTATTCAGAATCAGCTTAAAACGGGAGGGCATTATTTGGATGTTTTAAATTGTCCCTGATTGTAATTGTTCCCGTGGGTTAGGTAGAGAAATAAATGCATGCAAATTGTTTTAAAAGTGGTTTCAGGCCCTCCATCAGAAGTCTTCCAAAATACTCCGCGGTACAAATACCCCAGGTCTGCAGAGGGGGAGTTTAGCAGGAGTCTCGATTCCGACTCATCGTGACCCTACAGGACAGGGTAGAGCTGCCCCAGAGGCTCTCTGAGGCTGTCGACCATGCCAGAGGCCGAGTGACGGCTCTCTTCTCCCTTAAGTGAGTGGTTGCTGGGTTATCACTGCTGACCTTTCTGTTGGTCCTCACGCACTTAACTGTCATGCCACCAGGGCTATCCTGTACACCATGTTTCCCCAGGTTGGGTAGGCAGGCTCACTGCGGGAGGGGGGCGGTGGGGGAACACTGGCCTGCGTCCGTCAGGATGTTTCACATCCCTGACTCTGCCAACTAAACTCCACTCAGAACCACAA